CGACCCAGCTTCCTATTATTTCCTTAAAGGACTATTTATCTGCTATAACCTACTCTTTAATCATTTTAAACTGAATTGTGGTTATCAGGTTACACAAACAAAATTGTTATACCTATGATTTGGTAGTGAAATGACAGCTTAATATTATGTTATTTTTTGCTTTTTGCCAACCTAAATATCGACCTGTTTAAGCTTCTAAACTGCGAAATTTTTATGTAGATGAACTTTTTTGAGTGGCTGAGAAGTCATGAAAATCACAAACTATCGATTTGTCTTCTTCTTTTATAATGAATTCTATCTTTAATTCTGAAATTATACGATTTGATTTTTTAAACCTTCACTTCGTGCTCAGCCGCTGAAGCTGCAGCAACTCAATCAGGCGGCGCTGCTATACCACCTCCTACGGCAGCTTCTGGCAACTATAACTCCTATGGTGGTACTGGCTCGTTGCATTCATCTCAGCCTGCTGTACCTCCAATAAATCCTGCTAATATTCCTGATCAGCCTCCCAACAAGATTCTTTTTGTTACCAATCTTCCTTCGGATGCAGATGAGGCTATGCTTGGCATGCTTTTTACTCAATTTTCTGGTTTTCGCGAGATTCGTATGGTACCTGGCCGTAGTGATATTGCATTTGTTGAATTTGGAACAGAACGAGAAGCCGCTGGTGCAAAACATGGTCTTCAAGGTTTCACCGTTCGTCCAGGCCATCCTATAAGAATCACTTTTGCTAAGAAATAAATTCCACGATGTATTACAGTATTTAAGATTTTTTGTGCTTTTGAATGGCCAACTTCATCTTTGCTCTGTTAACTGAATATTTACGTCAGCTTTTCAAAGAGTAAATTATAAAGTTTCTGAAATATTTGCCTTTTTAATTAAAAACTTCTTGAGATATGCTTGCTTGTATTTTTGTCATGGTTTAATTCGTTCATACCACATCACAAAATGTGGAGAGCAGATTTATACAATCCTTTATATTTTATCATGAAAGAATTTTTGAAAATCCTGCTTACTCAGTAAATCCTTGTTTCTAAATTAATGGTTACTTGCAATACCTTTTTTTGAGGCCAATCCTGTCATTTGCCATGTTTGTTGGGAGAAACACAAAAAGCAGAATAAGAGCGGGCATCGCATTATGTGGTGGTATCTTTTTATTCCGTGTATGTATTTTAAAGACTACAAGTTATTCATGACTAAGAACTTAGAAACTCTAGG